CGGGCAGAGGGGCCCGAGGCAGACGCACGGAGCGTCCTCTGGATGGGTCGTCAGCCCGCAACGCCCATGTGGGGGAATGGATGCCACCAACATAAAGATCTTTGGCAACACAAATTGCACATTCCTGTCTTAAAACCTTGTTCAGTGAAGGGCTGCTACTCCGACCCTTTGCACTAGCACCAAGTGTGACCATGGAATCTTGCATGACTACTACCCTCTGCTGGGCTGGAATGTTGAGCAGGAGAGATCGACGCGCGTGACACTCCAACACATTGATGTGCCCTTCTTTTCGAAATTTATATTTTTTGCACACCTTCCACGGGAGAGTTTCAGAAAGCTGGGTGGCCCATAGGTGACTTACAAACTTACGGGAGCTCCTACAATCCCGCAAAGGTGGAGAAACTCCAGTCTGCACATCAACATGTGAAGCGTCATGAGCTGGGGATTTCTTATGCCACTGTAAAGCATCACACCCTTCAATGACTATGTCTGCAACATGTTCACACATGGGAAACGGATATGCAGCTGAACACGCGGCTTGAAAACCCTCCAGTTTAACATGAGTATGGTCGCCAGTGCAAAGACGCCCCATGGCCCTTAACCATGTATGGGATCCCAATATTCGAGTACCTTTCAAATAGGGGGTTCCAAATCTACATAGGTCCAACCGAATGTCTACACCACCTAAATGCCGGCACCACAACCATGCTGAAAGGAATCTAGTAAAAGCGAACCAGGGGGTCTCTAGAAGGGCAATCCGCCCGGCGCACTTCTGGGCGACCCACAAACAGATGGAAAGGTGCATGTGATAATTTCCAGCCAGAACATCCAAATTAAACAAATCAAAACCCAGGGGCTGCGCGCGACTCCTAAGTTTGGGGCACCGAGCCAATGAAAAGGTTGTACTAGGGGGCCCCAACCAAAGGATCGCAACCCTACCTGCCATACACAGAAAAAGAAGGAGTCGACTCAAATCTTTGTCGAACAGGTCCCACCCCTCTTTCAATTCAATCGGGGGTCCCACTACTAAACCCCTATCCGCAAATGCCTTTGTCATACGAGCACAACCAGAATAGATTTCAATGAAATCAAATCTGAAGGATAATTGTTTGCGGGGTGCTGGAATGAGTCCATCATCAGGTGGGGCCTGCGGCGAAAACTCCCAAAACTTCTGCGCCCATGCTTGCACACCAGGTGCCGATATTTTAACCACCCCACACTCTGCAGACTGCACAAAACGCGGTTCCTGTGGCAGTAGGTCGCCTTCCAAGGCGGGCGGCGCTTGGAACTCAAAATCGTGCGATGCCACAGTCGGGCACACTGGCAACCCTTGCTCTTGAAAAAAAGCACTGATAGGAGGTAAAAGTTTGGTGTGGAAACCCCGGGATTCTGCCCTACGAAACAATTCCTGGGACACACGGTCGCCAACATAACACGAAACCGCCCCCGCCCCTCCAGGCGCTGCGTCAGTTGCGTAAATTGTTGCACTGACTTGACGTCGCAACTGAGCTAAGGCCGTGGGACCCAAAATGCTTAAAAGCTGCAACTCACCTCTGGCCTCCCTAGTGGGTCGAAAGGGGGCGTCTACAGATCCATTAGAAGCCCCAATCCCATAGAGCACATGGATTAAACTAAAGAGACACCGTCTGAATTGGAAACAAAATGTCCAAAACCCCAAAATCTTTTCCACTAAAGTGCGAGTGAGGGCAGAAGATGACGCAGCAAACATCGTGGCCATAGACAGCATGCAAAGACGCTCTCGCTTTGCACCGATTAGGCCGCAAACGCCTTCGACTTGGGCGCCCCAAGCCACAGTGACCGGAACCCTGCGCAATCGCTTCTTAGGGTGATGGGTGAGGCCAGCGGTCTCATAGGCTGTGTCCGCTTGATTACACGACTCTGAATCCCGAAGCGGAACATCCCAAAACTTTTTAGGGGTTAGCTGAAGGTTAAGCTTGTCATCAATGCATACACCCGAAAAGTGACCTAACGGGGCCCTTGGGGTGATTTCCCCAAAACGTAGATGTTCCTCCGGTTTCAAAGCCCCATGAGACGCTAAGAGGTTCTCGTGAGCCATTTGGGCAAAGGCAGGTGCCCAATGATCCCCCATACTAAGACCTTTAAAGCACATGAAGATGGTGTCAGATGGTTTCAAATGCAACCGGGGATGTCTGGACTTCAAATCAGCTAAAGCTTTGGAACCTTCCCACTCCGAAACGGACCACCAGGGACCTACAGGAGTGCTAAGACCACGCTTGTGGGATACTTGGTATTCATGATAGAAATTCTTGAGGTCATCAACACTACCCAACAAATCAAAACCATGAGGAATGACAATACCCAACAAAGAACTAGGGTGTCCCATTTTTGGTCCATGTTGAGGGGGCGGAAGTTCCCGGCTATTTCGGGGTCGTCGGTCTATTATTTGCCTAAGCTCTCCATCAGGCTTTGAAATACAAAACAAACCCGATCTGTCTTGGCTTTCTATTTCGCTCGGAAGAGCTAAGGCAAGCCGATCTACTTGATCCCAGCGCCATCCCAAATGGAGCAATTCACTCCGGGTCGCGGCCGACACAGCATCAGGTGGCATCATCCGCGGCTGCTCCCTGTACTGACCATGCAATAAACAGCTAGGGTCGTGGTATGCCCGGGAGAATTCCTCATCCAGAAAGGGTAAGGGGTTAAAACCTTGCAACTCTTCCGGGAAAGCCACGGAAGATGCCACCGTGGGGACAACAACCGCAGGAGTTGACCTAGATCTCTGATTCTCATGACCCTGATTGGAGCCATAGGGGATATCCTGATCAAAAAACAACGCATGCAAACGTTCTAATTCAGAGGCTGTGTCTTCAACCTTGGAGCCGCACCCTGAGAAGACGTGTCCACCAAGGCGGCTTAGAGAGCGAGCCCTCAACAAAAGATTGTCTACGACAGTGAGTTGAGAAGAGGTTAAGGGGATCCCAAAATGCCAAGGCCCAGATTTGCCAAACACAAAATTCAACCCCGCAATTTGCAAGTTGATCAAAATCTCCTTTGCCCTTCTACGCCGCCACCGCTGGCGCTTACGTCTGGACGCGCCATGAATGGCATTGGAAGGAGTCCATGGAAATGGCACTGGGATTGGAAAAAGCTCTGCGGACCGTGCGTCTGAAGGCCCACTGCAGCGTCGACCAGCATGTACAAACTTCGCAAAATCTGTCCTAGATTTGAGTAATGAATTAAGCAAAAATATTGGCCAATCTTCAAAAGTTCGGGGCCTCATGTTCACATCTGCTGCTGCTCCTCCTGTTCCGCCTTGCGACCACGGCCTTTGCCTTTGTCGCCGCCTTTGTCGGCTCGGGGAAACGCTTTTGGAGCTCCTCGCCTTTTCATCAGCACCTCCTCGTCCTTGAGACGTGCAGTGATTGCTGCCGCCCATGTTGCATGAATCAAGCGACTGTGGGCATGATCCAGGCGAAGCTGCTGCACCGATTGCTCTCGAACCTTCCATTCCTGAAAGGGTGGCAGGCCCAGGTGCGTTAACCTCCATGCTGACTGCCAATTTTGGTCCAGCCTGTACTGCTCCACCGCTGCCAAGGTCAGCATGAGAACGAGCTGGGCTTTGTCGTAGCTCTTGCTCCGCATCAGATTCAAAGCCTTGACAATAGCCCAAACCATATAGCCCAAATCCCGGCTGGATCCAATTGGCATCTCTTCCCGCACAAACCTCTCCATTGTGTCTTGCGTGGGTTGAGTCTGCCCCAGGCAAGCAGCAGCCATGCTTTCGATGGAGTTCACGTACGCCATTGGTGTTGCATCCATCCCTTGTCTCAACTTCTCTTGCAAAAGGGTGCCGCGGGCTCCGCTCAACTTCCTGAGCGGATCGTCCTCCTCCTCGTCTGAGCTGTCTCCCAAAGCCAAGCCTACTTTTTTGCGGGACTTGCTCCCTTTTCCCAAGGCCTTCACCAAGGCGAGGCGCAGCATCTGGTCCGTGCTCAGGGCTGACTGACCCTCTTCCAGCAGGGCTACTTCCTCTTCGGTCAGCTCCTCTCCATCTAAGTCTGCAACGTCTTTGGCGGCCGTGACCGCCACACTTCTGGTGCGGGGCGGTGGGCCCGCCAATTGCGCTAGTTGCTGCAAGGGGTCTGCATGGGGTTTGACACTTGAAGCTGCTTTTGCACGAGCCCCAACTGCCAGAGGTGATGAATGGCGTTCCTCTTGCAAACCTTTGACATTGGATTGCAGAGCGCTGACTGCATCTGCCAAGGAAGAAAGCTGAGCCAGCACCATGTCCATGCCAGGTGGCATTTGCATTGGTACGGAAGGAGGCGCCCCCTCGACGGCGGAGAGGTACTCTTCTGGCGTGGGTCCATCTTCGCCTTCTACCCAAGCTTGAGCAGCAGCGATGATCTGTGGGCCATCTGGCCTGGCAACTTCTTCGCCCTCGACGAATTGGATCGTTCCTTCCCCCCATGCCACACGTTTCCGGGTAGCATAGTGCAAGACACCATAGTTGGATTCTTGCACGTCGATGAAGACAACAGCTAGTGTCGGCTTTCCCCCATGACCTTGGCAGCATACATAGGTCCGTTTGACAGGCCCCAACTCTGCGATGAGATCTCCAAGTTGGTTGTTGGCCTCCTCCTCGGCGCTGATTGCTCCATCTGGCAAGCATAGGAGAAGCCCACCAGTCCTTCTAAGAACTGGAACAGCCGCAGCCTGTCTGTCAGGCGTCTGAAACAGAAGCCACTCCCACTCTGACTCAACTGTGGCAAGTCGCAAGTTGTTGGCCTTCCTAGCAGTTAGCGGCTTGAACATGAGCAGCGAAAACTGAGAGAATGCTGGTTCTAGCTCTGGCTCTCAACTCAGGTGTGAAGTGAATGAAAAAATTGCTATGCCTGGCGGCGATATCCTGCAAGTCGGTCCTCACGCACTGGCCACTCAGTGGATCTGGAGCCTTCAAGGAGCAACACACCAAGAAGATGCCGCAGCCGTTGGCTACAAATCAATGCAGTGAGGAAGGCGCCAGTGATAATTCCAGATACGTAACACACCAAGCCGAACAAGATCCACTCAGCACCAGTGGGGCTTCGGTAGGCCACTGAAGTTGAAAGAGCCACAAGAAATGGCTCGAGAATCCGGGCCCACATAGGGAATATCAGCCAAAATTTCTTGAGGCATGCATTCATACATACAGGTACCTCGCAATATTTGCAATGCAACAAAACGCAGCACTTGTGCACAGCGCTTGCAAATAAATCATCTCGGGAAATTGGACCTACGGCTGCATTGAACTGCAGAAGTGAGAGGGGGGTTGCAGGCAAATTTTGGTGCTCAACTTTGTGCACTGACCACAGCAATCAGATCCTTCAACAGAAGTGAGCAAACCCAGTAGTCAAAAAATTAACAAATCAATATTGATCCATACGGAAGTGGGGCCAATGTGTTTTTTTCTCATGCCTGTTGTCAAGTGATGCTGACATCAGTGCATCTCAAGGAGCACCTGCAGGATCCACGAGAATGGGGATGCAGTATTTGGCTCTTGCCGGGTAGGTCTTTCGCACATACTCTTCACCCCTGTTCTCCAGGTCGCGTCTCATCATATTCCGATAGTTGTTGTCCTCGGCTGATGCACCATGGATGTCAGTTGCACTTTCTACACCCAACTTGTACGCAAAAAAAATTGCCGAAATAGTGTGTTTCCGGCAAAGTGAGTCTCTACCGTCCTTTGTCAGTAAATCTTCTTTGAAAGTCTCCAACTAACCATATCAGCAGTTCTTTTTCCAGACCCCCCCAGCCAACTATACCATATTCCAATTCCAACCACCCCAAAACAAAAATATCGGCCTGTCTGAAAATAGCAAATAGCACACCCTAAAATCCAATAGATTATGACTGCCGTAAATTGGGATAAATCCGATTTTCGGACAAACAAACAAAAAATGTGCCATGGTCAAACCATGGTAGAGGGTGAAAGGAAGAGCTGGTAAGAATTAACTCAGAAGGTAACTCTTGTCAGTCTGGGGGCTGATCATCAAGACATGCATGGAAGAAATACCTCAAGAGTTAATTCCTTGTAGTCACTTGCCCTGCTGACACATAAAAGCATCTTGTCTTGATGGTGGGTAAGTGATCCTAGAGTTAACTCTTGATTTAATTCTTTGCATTGGAAGCGTTCCGGAGCAGCCAGCATGCCCCGTGCAAACGGAGCTACAAAACATTTTCTGGGCTCGGGCAGGTCCAGGCACACAGCGTCACAGAGCCTCTCTCGAGCCGAAGTGTCGGTCAAGACTGGCAGCAAGGAAAACTGGAGGACCCCAGCAACTCTCGTCGATGATTGGAGGAGGACAAACTTTGCGAATGTATTCACATGGCTCCGGAGATTCTGAATCTGTGATCACCCACAACGGGCAGTGAAGAATGTGAGCTGAGGCTAGCAAACCCAACCCGTCGCCCCAAGACCCATCACGTGCCATGTGGTCGCAATACTCTTGGTATCGACCAGAAAAACGGTCGCCCCATTCGAGGGCCAAACATTCGGCCTAGTTGCCTCAAATAATCGACAACAGCATGCCTCAGCTGCATGGGGCTCAGAGGGGCGGCTAAGGCCGCATGAACCACAGATTCGAGCAAGCAGTTTCCCAGCGGTGGTACAGGTACTCTCTTGAGGCCTTGCAGATGGCAACCGTCCAGCAGCTCATGGCTGTGCTCCTGCCTCTGGCGAAGATCATCGGACTCTTCCTGTGACAGCTGAATCGCAAGCTGAACCTTTTGCTTCAGCCATCTCAAACCAGCAGCAAGTAACTGAGCCAGCGTCACCCATCTCAACCACTTCACATGGGTGCCAGTCTTTACTTCTACGCCCTCTACCCATAGCTTAAGCCGTAACCACTGGTCCCCACAAGTCCACAGAAGCTGGCAAACAAACGTCAAATTCACAGCTCCCACTATCCAAATGAATCCAACCCCTATCCAAAAAGAATTAACTTGAAATTTAATTCACAGGGGTCCGAAGCAGCAAGAATTAACTCTGGAGGTAAATCCTTGGAGGAGAGTAGTGGATTACCACAATCTAAAAAACTAAACTCCAGAGTTAATACCTTCAAACTCTTGCTTTTACTCTATTTCGCCAAACCATGGTATATGAGGTACTGTATGATCATCCATCCCATAATCGGAATCCTTGGAATGGATATATATAAACCCTACTCACGCATTGATTTCCATTCCCCAGTATGGGCAATGGACTCAAGTTTGACCATAGCACATATCAAGTTGGCTATGTATCCCATTAACAAAAAATCCCCATCATATCCCCCCATTGTGACAGGGGGATTTCTATTCTATCCCCCTCAAAAAAATACGTCTCAAAATGCTCATAGCCATGGGAAAAACTCGCCTCACTGCCGCCAGGCCATTTCACCAAGTGGCCAACAAGGCCTGGATGTCTTCCCAGCCATCCGGTGGCAGTGGCACAGTGTAGAGCCCCCGGCCGTACCAGGCATTGGCCGTGGGGCCTTCGATCTCCAGCGAAGCCCAGAGTTCGATGTCCTCCTTGGCCTGGAAGATCATTGAAATAAATAGGATAGAAGGGATACATATGTATGTATATATATATACACATAGATGGGATAGATGGATAGATAGATATGTATATATATAAGGGATGGAAATCATATCAAATGGGAGTCACCAAAAATTGAGGTGTATAATTTCAGGAATGCAACTTGGTATATTTAGCCATCAGCACTTGGTATATATGCGGAATCTCATGGGATTTACCAACCAGAACCCAGATACGTTTGCATGGGGCAAATGGGTATTTCAAGAGGTAAAATGAATTATTTCACCCAAACAAATAGCTATCATTGACCTACAACGGGTTGGAGAAAACCCGCATAATGGGATGTAAAATATGGACTTGCTATGGGGGCTTGCTATGGGCAGTCACCAACTTGATATCTAATGATTTGGGTATGTCTGAAGATTGGGTATGCCGCATGTGCCCCAAGTCATGATCATGTTGGCTTTGTTAAATAAGTTTAGTATCTGCATAGCTGTATGTTGGCATCTTCTGTATTTAAATATGTGATCGTCCCTTGCCATCTTTGAACTCCCACCTTGCATTTTGGAAGATTTGCAGGAAACCCATGGTCTAGCTACCAATTCTGATGGTATGTAATGCATGAAATTTAATATATCTATATAATGGGAAACAGCTGGTATTTGATGGTTTGTTTACCATAACTATTGGATGGCATGGCATGTCAAAACCATGATTTCCGGTGAGGGAACATCAAAAAAGATTGCTCCACGAGCTTGGTTCATCATCACATCCCCAGTCGTTCACCTCGTTGGTGATGTTCTTAAAGGCCAAGAAGTTGGTATAGTGGAAGACCACTTGGGCCCTCTCCGTCGAGGACAAATCCAAGGCGTCACCCCACACGGTGATGCCTAAGGGACCAGAAACCATGGTGGAGTGTGGGATGAATCACAGATGACTGGAACCATATGACTGGGTGTTCAATATGACTGGATGGGATTAGGAGGCTCCCATTCTGTGAAAATTCCAGCATGTTGAGAACAACAATGGAAGATGGACAGTGGGACCCCCCACTGTCAATGGTCCCTGCATGTCCCTCCCAGAAATCCTGCAAACCGGCGATGGACCTGTTGGCTTGTGTAACCAGCCCCATTCGTCGTCGCACCAGCGGTAGTCTTCGTGCTTGAAGATGCCTTGGCAGAAAAAAAGCCGTGTCCTTTTGGGAAGCATCGAGGGGTCGCTCTAGTACATAATTTGTCACCTTGATTTACGTGTTCAGTTGATTTACCATGGTTTATCCCACTATTGATCAACCAACCAGTGAAAAAAGGACATCAATGAACCTAAGGCAGGATCTAGGCTCAATATCACAGTCGAATCTACCGGTCTGCCCTCTGCTCCTTTCGGACTAATTACTGAGGCTCCAGTATTTATTTACTGCTCAACACAGCTCCCCAATAAAAACGTGTCCTTGTCAAAATTCCAGCAGCCATAATTCTCGTTGCTATTCCCCAACAAACGAATAGCAGTGGTGCCATCATGGCAGCATCGCCGAAATTTGGCACAAAATTCGTGGCAAGCTGCCACCCTGCTGGTACGAGATCTCAAAATAGTCTCGCAGCGACCGAGAGGTTTCCATCGGCGCATGGCGTGCCAAGCGAGTTGATCTGTTGCGATTTCTGGTGAAGAATATGGTCAATTTGGGATCATACCATTTCTTATGGTTGTACATTGAATATATGGAATTTACATATGTGCATGTGTATATATATACAGTATATACACACATATCATATATGTATATGTAAATGTCCATATACACGTGAAACCACCAACCAGATTAAGTTGTGCATATCCCCATTGTATCCGCATGATATCACCATCTTCGGCAAAAACGGCTGCCATCGCCAAATCTGGTCAAGTATCATTGGAGTCATGGGGCTGATAGATGCTGATAGGGGATGCCATGATTGTCATATCACCAGCCTTAGTGTGTGTGTGTGTGTCATAGTCTTTTCGAAGTCAACCAAAAAAAAACACATCGTCTCTTGTTCAAGATGCGGTTCGTTCCTGCATCTCTGCCTCGTTTTCACCGCCAGCGAAAAACCAAAGACTTTCCAGGAATCCATCACCAAGACCGAGGATGAACCAGCAACTGTGGTTCCACCACAGCCTGGATAGGGAACTGTGAGCACAGTGTAATGATTGTAATGAGGAAGCAAACTTCTGATCTATATCTAAGTGGTTGGTGGATGGGGATATCACAACTGGTTGATCCATAAGGGTTCCCATAGGTTCACATTGATATCACTCCTTTGAAGCGGTCACTGGTCGCAGCCCAGTCAAAGCTGGGCTTGAGCCCTGGGCCCTTCACATTCCAGGGTGGATATAGTGCCAGAAAGGTGGCCATCTTCGGCACGAAACCATCCCATTTTCGCAGGGGGTAATGGCCTGATCATTGTCTACTGCACACACAGATGACTATCCGACGACGATCGTTTTTCATCCCCCTTTCCATGTTTCAGTATGTTTCAGTGGGAATTTTCGAACCAAAATAGCTGTCCGTCCGAAATCTGTCATTCTTTCCATGCCATTTTTTAGGCAGAACCCTCTGCAGACAGTCAGTGCGACGTTCAACGACTAAGGTCTGGCTGGATGTGGACTGCCGGGCTACTTCTACTTCCCATGACTGCAAATGGTGATTCCGTGGGGAATATTTACTGAAAATGTTTGATGGGACTATCTAAATATGTGATGGAAGCTAAAGTATATCACCAAACAAGATGTTTTTGGTTGGTGATTGAGCCACCTCTCTGAAAAAGATCCATTAGTCAATGAATTGGGATCATCATCTCAAGTGGGGTTGAAAATAGTTTCCCAAAACAGCTTCACAAGGCTTGACATAGGTTACTTTGCGTTGTGTTGCATGACGTTGCGTTGCGTTGCGTTAACATTTTGCTAGTTTCAAAAGTGCTTTCCAAGAATATCCACAACAGTTCCTGAGTCCAAAGCTGAAGGGAAATCGCAGGAAAACCCAAAACAAAAACACCTGTTGATTGTAAAATGCCCATCCTTTGACCGTCTAAAAAGCGAAAAAAAATACATAGTAAGTTTGATCCAAAAAAAAAACAGAGTTTCCTGTTGAATTTCCCTCAAGCCATGACCTTCATCCGCAGAGGGAACTGTGTTCTCGGATCATTTCGGCCGCTTGTCCTGAAGTCGGCCTGGCTTCAAATGGACTGATTTGAGGAAACAATGTCAAGGAACTAGTGGAAAAATGGCGCTAAAACAAAGGGGGGTCTTGTACATGTTCCCTTCATCCAAGTCTGGAATATTTAGGTAAACATAAGTGAAGTTGGGAGTGCCAACGCACCCACATAAGGCTCGTCATTTTTGATATTTCCACCGTTTTAGTATCCAGATTTGATTTTTCAATGGTGGTGCTATCCCCTGCTGGAGCCTCTCCAGCAACTCGCTATGCGCCCGGAGCGATAAAGCGCTTGCCGCTGGTGGCGTCCGGTTTTCCGCTTTTTTTTGGGGGTTTGATGAGTCTGGTTGAGTTAAGTTGAGAGGATGCTACCAGTTAGATCTAGTTTCAGGATTATGACATGGTGGTAAATCATCATGTAACATCTGTCTATGAGCATGGATCAAATCAGCGAAGAAAAAAGACAGTTTGGTGCCTTTTGTTGTGTTTTTGCGCGTAAAAGATGTGCAAATCACTTTTCGGTTTGAACCAACCATGAGCAAACCAAAGAAGCAAAGGTTGAAACAGTCATTTGGCATTTTATCTGCATAGTTGACATGTTCATGCTGATTTTTTCCAATCTGTGCCCATCCCAGGATCACCCTGTCGCGCCAATTTCTTTGTTTCACCATCGATCGGCCATAATCGATCTTTTGATCACAGCCTCCAGGTGCCTTGACAATCTTCAAACAGCAGTGGCAATTTCTCCACCGATCTATGTACAGACTTTTCCAACGGGAAAAGGACTGGAGGGTTCCAAAGGTTCAGCCCCAGGCCTCTCTGACCTGGGTGCGGCTAGTGCTCAGAAGTATAAACACCACAAAAGGGGAGGTTGAAAATGGTAAAAGATAGAAGTCACTGAAGTCCTGGGATCAGTTTGAATTGGATAGCCGCTATAGCTATAGCCTTGATTTCCACGTGTCCAGCTAAACCCCACGTTTTGCCCATCTGAACCCAGGCACGGATGATTGCTTTCTCCCGACTTCCTCGAGACAAACAACGCTTCAGGGGGTGAAGCTTCAAAAATGGTATATAACAACAGAGCAAAGAAAGAGGGATTGACTCGGATTGGCCGCCAAAAATGGGTTGAGTCCAAAAATGAAGATCATCATTCATCATCATCACCTGGAACCATCGACCATTGGATCCAAATTGCAATTCTTTCGTTATGTCAAAAAATGTTTTTTTTCGCTATATCAGTTATATCGTTGTATTTGAACTGAAAACAGGGTGGCCAGAAGAAAATGAACAAAGTGCCGCAACCTCCAAAACCTGTCTGGTCGCGGATCCCATGTCGGTTCCTTTCCATGCCCCCCCCACCTCTGACAGGATCAATGCAGCAGAGCCCGTGAGTTCCTGCAGTGCCTCCTGCGGGGACCGGTGCCAACACTCACGTCATGCTAACGGCCGACCCTGATGCCCAGTATTAATACAATCACCATGAAATCTGGGGGTAAAAACGGTGGATTTTTGAGGTAGAAACCTCGTCCACAACCTTGGTTGAGAAAGTAGATCAGTATCCATGCGTTCATGGTTCATTGTTTTCAAGTCGAGTGACCAGCAGATGAAGCAGGACAAACAACAGAGATGTATGGATAAAAGGTGGGCCTGTCATATGGTTGGTTTGAAGACATACCCGAGGCACAGGTCACACCCCATGGAAATACCTATCTACAGAGGGAAATCATCATCTACAAATGGTTTCGTCAAAATCATCAAAAATACATGTATACATGTATGCATGTATGTATGTATGTATGTATGCATGCATGCATGTATGTATGTACGTATAAACATTTATGTTTTGATATGGGTATTAAAAAAATGGAAATGTATATATATATAAATATGTGTGTATTGAGATATATATATATATATGTATGTATGTATGTGTATGTATGTGTATGTATGTATGTATGTATGTATGTATGTATGTATGTATGTATGTGTGTATGTAGGTACGTATGTATGCATGCATGCATGTATGTATGTATGTATGGATGTATGGATGTATGTACTGTATGTAATGTACGTAGTGTATGTAATGTATGTAATGTATGTAATGTATGTATGTAATGTATGTAATGTATGTAATTTATGTAATGTATGTATGTAATGTATGTAATGTATGCAACGTATGTAATGTATGTAATGTATGTAATGCATGTACTGTATGTAATGTATGTAATGTATGTAATGTATGTATGTATGTATGTATGTTTGTATGCATGCATGCATGCATGTATGTATGTATGTATGTGTGTATATGTGTATGTGTGTATGTGTGTATGTGCGTGCGTGTATGTGTGTGTGTGTATGTATGTGTGTGTGTGTGTACGTATGTGTCTGTATGTATGTATGTATGTGTGTATTTTTCTAAATGTATCTAAATGTATCTAAGTGTATCTAAATGTATCTCAATGAACGTAAATGTACGTACATGTGTGTAAATGTATGTAGATGTATGTAAGGGTATGTAAATGTGTGTAATGTATGTAAATGTATGCACATGGATGCACATGCATGTAGATGTATGTAAATGTATACAAATGTAAGTGCAGGTATATAAATGCATGTAAATGTATGTACATGTATGTACATGTAAATTTACATATATTTAAATATTTGTATGTTTAAAAAGTTTGTTATTTGTTTATTTATTGATTTATCTATGTATGTGTGTGTATGTATGTGTAAGTATATGTATATATGTATATATGTATATCTGTATATATGTATATATGTATATATGTATATCTGTATATATGTATATATGCATATATGTATATATGTATATATGTATATGCAAATACTTGTATGTATATATGTATACTTGTATATGTATATTTATATATGCGTATATGTGTATATACATGCATATATATATATACGTATATATATATATATATATATATGTCTGTCTGTGTATGTGCAAAACTGTATACATATATATATATAGATGCATCTATATATATATACATATATTCATATATGTGAATATGTATATATATATATATTGTATATATTTATATATGGTTGTATGTATTTATATATATATATGTTGAAAATAGCGAGGGGTATAAAGATAGATAATTACTTTTGGGCCAAACTGACACAAAAATATGGCTAAAGGGATGGTAAAACCACCAGCAGATTTCTCGGGGTTGACGCCGGCAAACTCAGCGTCAGAACCTGTGGTTAACTTCGCGGGCGCGGAAGACCATGGCATGTGTGCTGGCGAGTGGTATGGCAGAGCACCCGCAACTGTGATGGACAAGCAAAATTAGGGGAGAGTGTGCCGGCAAGTGGCAGGGCAAAGCGTGTGAACTAGCTGTGGTCAAGCAAAATGATGGAAACTGTTAACGGCAAATGTGGTCAATGCAAAAATACATGAAAACCGGCAA